TGATCATTTATTCATTCCAAAGCTAGCAGATGACAGCGAGTCACTGGTCTTTTGTACCCAAATAGGCCAAGAACAAGAGTCCCCTGGCTACGTAGGTCTTACGCTGAATGTTGATTGAGAATAGTTTAAGCATGCATTATATTGCTATTGCTATTGCTATTGCTTTTGAGTCAGTCTTGACTCCTGCCAACTGCTAGTCCCTGCAGGTTTCTTGGCAACTTCTTCAGAAGTGATTTGCCCTTGCCTAGGCTGAGGGACTGGTCCAAAGTCATCCAGCCAGCTTCCATGCCTGAACCAAGACTACGATTCATGGTCTCCCAGTTTCTAACACGGTGCCTTAACCACTACACCAAACTGGCTCTCCATATATGTTAATAGGAGACCTCCACTGAAAAAAAACAATGGCTCCCTCTCCTCACCTCTCCTCAAGCTCATCTTTCCCGCCAAAATCTCTCTTCCCCTTGTTGCTACCTGGGCTGGACATTCTGATTGGTGGAGGGATCCCTGCCAATCAGAACCAAGAAGCCTGAGCTAGCTCTAGGCCCCACCCACTATACTGATTCTTTTTCTAGCTCCGCCTCTCATTCCCTTGCCTTGCCTCACCTCTCCTCAAGCTCATCTTTCCCGCCAAAATCTCTCTCTTCCCCTTGTTGCTACCTGGGCTGGACATTCTGATTGGTGGGGGGATGCCCTACCTATTGGGTTGGTTCCTTGAGTTTGGAGGCTGCCCTATCAGTCTCCCTTTTGGGTCCCCCCGGAAAAGACCTTTGTAATAGAACCCAGCTGCTTCGTAAATCTGGTCATGACAAAACAGAATGGCTTCCCCCATAGATTCATTATTCCTGGATTTGCATTTGTCAAAAAGACCTATTAACCCAGGATCACTTGGGCTGAGTGAGAGTGACTGGTCCAAAATCACCCCATGAGCTTCCATGGCTGAGGGTGACCTAGAACTCAGCTCTTGCATATTTAGAGATCACATACTTGACAAAACATTTTTCCCTTAGGTCTCAGTATTATAATTTGATCTGGTTAACTAGTTAGAATAACCTGGGACTACGGCACCCATAATTTAGCCAATCCCAACACACCCAGCAAGCTGCAGGAAAGAGAAGGCTACTATAAATTTCTGTCTAGATTTATTTCCTCTTTCCAAAGAACATGAAAGAGTATTTTTCAAAAAGCGAGGAAGGGGAAGAATGTGTTCTTCCTTCTTGGGGAAGAGTGTTCCTGAGCATTAATTTACATGCAGGAGAGAATCCGGAACATCATGTAGAATCATGACAAGTGAACCGATATGGATGTAATTGGTGCAGTATGAGAAGCTGATGAGGAAGACGGTGGCCGCGTGGTGGACAATTTCCTCACAGAAGTCCTGCAGCAAGAGGAAAGATTGAAATGATGGATTTTGCAGTTGCTCCGTGGGGGCCAGACACCCCCATTATGGGGAAGGGGCTTAGAGTGGAATGTTTTGCATCTGCAGAAATACCAAACAAGTTACTTTTTCTCTTTCTTTGATTGATTGTGCAGTTTTAAAATTCCCCATGCTGGCTGGGGAATTCTGGGAACTGAAGTCCACACATCTTAAAAGTTGCCAACTTTGAGAAACTGGCCTGGAGAGCCCCTACAAGCATGGGGCTTCCCTTAACATTTCATTTCTATCTCCCTTTTACTCTTCAGCCCTCCTCCTCCCCACTCCCACCCCCTGCTTTTAGTGCAATCCTCTAGAGAGGAAAGGGGGCAATGGGGATGAGGATGGAGGTCCGAGGCAGTGACATGAGGTTGAGAAGGGGTCATAACAACACAACCGGCCAGATCTTCCACACGTGTACATTGTAGATGCACAACGATGAGTTCTGAATTGGTCAAACTGTGAGGTCAGAACAGACCTGAAGAGTTTCTCCTTTCTAGCTGCATGCAAAAGTTGAGCCAACCCTGGTCAAACTGTAGGCTCGTGCTAGAGATTAGGAGGAATGCTGATTGTATCAGATGTCAGGCAGCAGAACAGGCTCCCACATGAAATAATGTGTTCTGCTTTGTTGGAAGCAAAGGCTGGAGGGTCATCTATCAGAGATGCTCTACACTGTTTTTCCAACTTGGCAACTTTAAGATGCTGGCTGGGGAATTCCGGGATCTGATGCTCACACATCTTAAAGTTGCCAAGTTGGAAAAACATTGGTTCATACACTGAGCAGAGGCTGGACTAGACAAAATCTAAGATCCTTCCAACTCTATGATCCTATGATTTCAACCAAAGGTTTGAGCACAAACCACAGGATCCAAACATTTCCTGTAGGATCTTCCTAAGACCTTTTCTAATCACGCTTCTGGAATTTTTTTGCAAATACTCTGTCCCTTCCAACCTCTCAAATTACAACTGTTGTTTTGTCTGCACTCAACAACCATGAGCTCTTCTAAGCAGTTGTCTGAGCATTTGAAAATGAGGATAATTCATTCTTACAAAACCGGGGAAGGATGGATGGATGGATGGATGGATGGATGGATGGATGGATGGATGGATGGGTGGATGGGTGGATGGGTAGATGGGTGGATGGGTGGATGGGTGGATGGATGGATGGATGGAGATAGATAGTTATAGATAGATATAGATGAGAGATAGATGATTGATAGATGAGAGAGAGTGAGCAATTTCAGTTATGAGAAACATTGTTCAGAAATGGAAGTTACACGGACTTGAGGAAATCAAGGCAACACCTGTGAAGGGCATTGTTTTGATATATGATTTTGTGT